GGTTTCGAACTAACTGGCGGCGTAGGGTATTGGGTGGGATGTCAACAATCGTTACATAATTTTCAAGACCACTTTTTCTTAAGCACTTTTTAATGGCATGACTTACTTCATTTGATATGAAGGGCAGCTTAAAGGGGATCCTACTTTCGTCTGAAATATTATTTTGGGAAACTACCAAACGTTTTCCTCTAACCCGAGTGGCTTCTACTTCGTAGCCATTGGAAATGGCAAATTTTCGTGCCAGGTTTCGCGATTCCTTCCTTTCCTCTTCTCCTGTACACACATTTTTAGCCGTACGATACATATTTTTGATAAGTGCTTTTTTCATGTGTGAAGGGTGAGAGGAGAGGCAGTGGACTACCATGTTTTTACTACTTGGCTTGCGATACCATTTTGCTACATAGCCACTTACTGAAAGCTTTATTTGGATATTTAAGAATGGAAGCCAGTTTTCGGTAGGTTTTTCTCGTGTAAATTTTATATACTCTGACTGTCGGTTTAATAATTCAAAGCACTCATCCATCTGTTCTTGTGTGGAACATATGATGAAGCAGTCGTCTATGTATCGACAGTGGAGTAAGGGTCGGTGATCGAGAACTGGAGCTTCCACCTTACACATGAAAGCGATGGCAAGGTTTGGTGCTAAACGCTGCCCCATCGCCAACCCTCTAATTTGTGCAAAATATTTTCCAGACCACCTAAAGATTGAACAACTAAGACACTGTTTTAAGAGAGTCATTAGTTGCGCAATCGACAAGCCGTGCATTTTTATTTTCTTTTCATGCTCTACGAGCAACTCAAACTAAAACCAAATATCGTCGTGTAGAAGCCTGCTCAGCAAATCCCAGAAAATCGGGCTACGTAACCCCAGAAGACACGGACAGCACTAATATGTACCAAGTGAATGGGGAGTCTGAAGAGGCGAATCATGAGTGATTAGGAGCTAGAAGACGTATCGTCTATTGTGATTGTATCAGACGCCGCTCTTCCATACACATTCATGCTCTGACAGATGAAAAAATCTTGTCAATGGCAGTGAAACTATGCTGACTCGCACTAACTGGTCAGTATTTTAAACGGGACGAAGCGTTCAACGAGAGGTTTGAAGTAGCTCACTGAGTACGGTTGTCGCTGGACTGTGATAACAGTGAAGTCAACCATTCTCGTACTTACATCCATAAATGGATTGGACTCGCTACGTGTTTATTCGCTAGACTTGGTTGGCTGTCCAAACCGAATCTGATTTGAGGTTTTTTCGTTTTCGTCGAAACGTTTTAATTAAAAGTGGATCTTTTTCGTGTATAAAAGGGCATCATTGAGTGAGGATGCCTCATTCGAGAAGATGGCTCACTGAGGAAGATCTGGCTCGACACGAAGGCGAAGACGCAACGTCGAGGCGAACAACAAGCATGGACCATCGACTCGGATCACCGGCTCTGAGGAAGACGAAGACGTCGAAACGTTAGCCGAAAATAAATATATTTATCAACCTCGTGTAAGCTTATCAAGAAAGAATACATAAAAGTGGATCGTCTGTTCGCACGAAGTGCGATCTCGAACGCATGCTAAAGAGAAGCGACTACTTGTAGAGGATATGATGCCCGCTGTAACGCCTATAATCCATTCTGATTTAATCTTACTTTTCCCATAAACTTCTTAATAAAGAACACTTCGAAACAAATTCTAACTGGGTACAAATCAATTTGAATACGATAAAAAGATCTTTGAACAAAAGTCAAAATGGTCTCCTGCACCAACATAATACATTGAACGATGGAGAGTTCACTTAGGAAGTTTATTTATGATGTCCTTCACGTTACTGAAACCAATATTTGTCTGTTATACATAATATAGCTACTTACCCGTTGTACAAGCATTGAAGTATTGATTGTATACACGTCTAACTAGTTAGGTGTGAGGTTGCCTGCCCTTAAGTCCAGAATCACACAACGTGCATTTCCACTGTTCCCTTGCTAATCGTGCTGCGAAGAAACCGCACTGCTGTCAAGATCACGCCGCTTCTGAAAACTGTGGGAGGTGTTCTTGGGTATCGGATTGCGATGTACAGCGGGGGATTCGTCCCCCCGTCGACAGGGTCTCCCAGGCTGAGGAGCCCGGTGTTTCCATTAGGAAGCCTAGCTAAGAGCAATACCACGACTCACCACCGCCTTGGTATCAAAGTCGCATGGTGGCAAATCTCCCTCTGAACTTTGGCCAAGCTGTGCTCATGACTCCAGGGAACCACAACGGCTTAACCAGCAAATCTCCGAAAAATGGTGATTATGCTGAGGTCCGCACAACTAGTGAGGACGGGCCGTTCAAGTACCGAGTAAGTAAGCATTTGTCACGACTCTGATATATTGTAGAGCGGGTATTCCACGTTGCACTGAGACAACCGCGTGTACTGCTTCGTGCCGTCCTCAGCCAATAAAAACTGTTTTGATCTCAGAGTATTTTCCAGCATGTATCAAAGTAAAAGGGACACGTGTAACGCAGTGGTTGGAGGTGCTCTGCAATACACAAGAGATCGACTTTCGCGCCCTTGGGTCACCAAGCCATCTATCCCCACGAAGTCGGCAAATTGGTGCCAGTATGGGAGGTTAGCAGCCCTAACTCGATACATCGGTAGACCACTGTGAGTCATTCTAAAGACCAGATATGCACTCAATCACTTCCAATGATGCTTAATAAAGCCGAATGCATGGCATCACCCTCAGCGATTGATCAACGCGGAGAGATTTATTCTTTTTATTTATTAAACCAGACACAGAATGTTTCAATCTGTCTTGAATACATCATATCTAAAACTAAAACAAAGATATGCCAACATTTACGAAAAGTGCAATATCCACATCCCAAAGGACGAATAACATTAAGGAACACAGAAAACAGCTGATCACTAATTCTTCGAAATTAATTATTCTTACAAAGACTAGGAATAAATGTACGCTCATCTGTTTATAGTTCTAGTAAAATCAAAATAACTCAAAAGGTCTATAGCAAGCGGAATAATTATACTGTAGTAAAGTGTCAAATATCACAGTGGGAAAACAGAAATAAGGAGGTGAACCAAAAGCAACCTATGCATATACCTCATTTTTTAAGGGATCGAAGAATATCGATCTAATTGGAGGAACCATCTCCACTTTTCGTGGTTCACTACATGGAAAAGGACTCTGAAGTGAACATTTAAGTATAACAACAACATGTAAAACAGTATAGTAAAAATAAGGCATAAGGAGTCGATACCTTACCTTAGTATAGCCATAGTTCCAGGTGATAAAAAGATCAGTAATCATGTCAATTATTGCTTTGTCGGCGAACTGGATGTTGGTGCGACTAAATATCGAAGTAATAACATGTATTCATAATTGAATGAAAACAATAATTGAATGGGTGTGAAATCAGTCAAATTCACAATCCAACAAACTACTAGGATAGAATTTGGCTCAGGGCTGTTGTGGACAACCAAGACATCACCATTCTACAACAATATTAGCATTGACGACAAAAGAGGAGTTAGGCAAGGCAAAACCATCTTGCCAAAATTATTTACTGCCACCCTCCAGAACGTCATGCGAACGTTAGAATGGGATAATATGGGAGTGAAAATCGATGGTCGACAATTACACGATCTTTGCTTTGCTGATGACATCGTCCTTACAACACTAAACATTAGCCAAACGGAACGTATGCTTGCCGACTTTGATAAAGTCTGTGGAAAAATTGGTCCTCAACTAAATCTCACAAAAACGATGTTCATAAAGAACGGATTGCTTTCGTATGCCCCGTTCACGCTCAACGGAACGAATATCTCCGAATACTCCAGTGATGTCTATCTAGATCGGGAAATCAATATGATGAACGACTTAGCTCCAGAAGGAAACGAGCGGTTTGGGGAGCCTTCAACAGCATCGAGGATGTAGTGAAGAGGACAAAGAACACCCGACTTCGTGCCCACCTTTTCCACTCAAGGATGATTCCTCCCTTAACGTATGCGCCAAAAACCTGGTCGCTGCGTAAGCAGGATGAATGATCACTCAGCGTTGTTGAACGCGCAGTCGAAAGAACGATGCTAGGAGTATTCCGTTTCACTCAAGTAAGGGAAGGGATCTGAAGCTCCGACCTGCGTCAACGATCAAAAATCAAAGATTACGTCAAACAGTAGCAGACAAGGTGGGAAGAACACGTAATGCGTTTGAAGGACAACCGATGGACAAGAGCCGTTAGCGACTGGATTCCTCGAGATGTCAAACGTACTGCAGGAAGACCACCGACCCGATGGTCAGAGTTCTTCACAAAGAGCCTTGAAGAAAGATATGACGCTCGACGAGTCCCTAGAGCGAGCAAAAGCCACCGGGCTACTCTTGCATGAGACAGGGAAAACTGGAAGATTTACTGGCGCCTGCTCAAGTCGCTAGATGATTAAGGGACCAAAGGTGATACAAGCGATCGCTGAAGAATGGTGGTATTTTGGTTGCGAAATTTTTGTAGTGCTCAAGGGGAATCCTTGTACACTGAACAAGAACACCTCTCCTTGTCTGGATCTATCACTGCTTGTATCTCAACTGAGTCAAAACCTTTCTTTAAATTAATGAAAATGAGAAAGAGCGATCTCTTGTACCCTAATGATACCTCGGCGAATATGGTCATCGTGTGAATGTGTTCTGGTGTACTGAATTGTTGTGGAAACACTGCTTTCCCATTTTGCCGTCTAGCGTTCTGCCAGTATTGCTCAGAATGGCTCAAGATAAGCTGTTATGAACGGCAGACAGCAGACTGGTTTGGCGGCGGTTGCCGATGTCATGTAGGGTCTCACTTTTGTATAACACGGTTTTGGTGTTCTTCCAATGAACAGGAACCTTGCAGTGCAACAGTTAACGTGTGAACAGACGAGTCACCGTTGATGAGGACTGCCGGAAGGTTACTCTTTTATTCACAGATCCTATCCTCTCAGAACCTGTTTTGGTCTTCCAGTTCTTCACTGGCAATATAGCATGTCAGAATTCGAAAGGAGAATCGGTGGGACTAAGTATCCATCCTATAACTAGTTTATTGCTTGCTACTGAAACCCACAGGTGGCTTGACCAGCTGTCGGTATGCAGGCTGGATACGTTGTCAGTCTGTCAGAGTAGACACGCAGTTTATTCGATGGAAGCGACTCCTATATCCCTAATGTACTGATCAGTCATTTGATTATAGGATTCTTCACGAACTGACTTGCAGAATGCAATCTGCATATATGCGGACACACTGGCATTTGAATAATAATGAATAAGTCTTCTTAAACACGGAAGGTATGCATCATATCGGAGCACCAGAAACAGGGTGTCCACGTTATGAAACCATATGCGTGTCATGAAAACAAAAGACCGCTTTCAATTTGCGCTTAACTCCATGCCCATCACTAGAAAATGCGATACGTTGCATCGCGACTAACGCGCTAGGAATGCCACAATCAGCGAGATCCGCCGATTGAATACAAGAAGTGAAGCAAAAAAGTATTTGCGGCAAGTACACATTCTAAGAAAATGCACATCGAAAACAATCCCTACGCTTCGCTCTGTCCAGTAACGTGTGCACTGATATTAATACGCATGTTCACTTGTATGTAGAAGAGAAAACTAATGAAACTAATGAAAAAAAAACAACTAAGAACAAGAACTAATACCAACTTGTCTGGTTCCAAAATTCCTTTCTCTGTCATTCGAGTGCAAATAGCTTGGTTTAATGCCGAGTTGAACAACGGTATCCCGAAAACACAATCGAGCAGCACATAATCATCATACGAGAATCCACTTGGAAGTGCACTAATAATGTAAAAAATAGAAAAACGTAGAACAAAGCCTATATCGTAATAGATCGTGAAAGCTTCGTCTATGTCCATTTATAGAATATAATAAGATAAACTCCTTCCGACAGTTTACCGCCTCATCGTGGCTGGAAGGTGTTCCTGCGTTTCGGAATGAGACGTACAGCGGGGATTCATCCCCTGGCAGGGACTCCCAAGCTAAGAAGGAGTTCGGTGTTACCATTAAGAAACCTAGCTAAGAGTTAAACGATACCAACAACCACCACCGTCCTGGTATTAAAACCGCATGGTGGTAAATCTCTCTCTGATCCACAAGGGCTGCGACTGCTCGTGGTGGTGAATATCTTGTGCAAAGTCTGGTTAGGCTGACCTCGGGACTCCAGGGAACCATAATGGCTTAACCAACAAATCTCCGAAAAATGGAGATTATGCTGGGACCCGCACAACCAGTGAGGACGAACCATTCAAGTAACAAGTATCAAGTAATAAGATAAACTGGATAATAAATACCACATACAAAAATACTTGAATAGTTAGACAGGCCATCCTCACCGGTTGTGCGGGCTCCAGCACCTTCCCCATTTTTCAGATTTCTGATGGTTTAGCCATTGTATGACTCTGGAGTCACGAATTCACCCTGGTCAAAGTCTGCCCCAGGTCATCACCACCACCGGCAACCGCGGCCCTCCTGGATCAGAGGGAGATTTCCCACTACGCGACTAGTTTGATACTTCTGGATGGTTGAGGATTATGGTATCGGTGTACTCTTAGCTGGGTTTCGTGATGGAAAGGCCGGACTCCTTCTCAGCTTGGAAGACCCTGCCGCGGGATGAATCCCCTCGCTGTACATCCCAGCCCAAAACCCAGGAACACCTCCTAGCCACGATGAGGCAGTAAACCGTTGGGAGGCGTCTAAAATTATGGCTGAAAAATAAAATAATCACTTCAAAACCGTATGCGATTCCCGTTGTACAGAAGACTCATAAGAAGGTGTTGCCCTCGACTTATTCGATGGCTGCTTCCGCTTTAGTCCCTTATTGAGGAGGACGATGTAACCACACAAGAAGTTGAGACCAATACGAGATGAAAGTGCGAGTACGGCGGGATGTCTCGAGAAGCTACCTAGAAGAGCGCATTTACTGTCGTGAAGAGACAACGTTTAACAGCTAACATTCAGTTGCTTGAACGGATTGTAAAACAACTTGTAACTGGCAAAAGAAAGGCCATGAAGTCATTAGTATGAAGCAGAAAATGATATGTAATGTTGCCTTTAAACAAGCATTTAGAAAAGAAAGCCAAGCATACCCTCAATTTCACTCTCACTTTCATCAAATGGGAAAGGGACGTATACCATTTCGTCGTCCTCGGAACAATGAGGATATTCCTTAAAGGAAGTTTTACAAAATAGGAAACGCAAACTATCGACGAACAACTGTAATATAGTCCCTAACTACGAACAGTTTTCGAACAAGTCAAGAAAAAAACTAAAAGTAGGTGCAACAGGAATAAACACATAACAATAACAATTGTAAGAATTGCAATAGAAATTACAAAAATAAGTATAAAGGATAAAGGACAAAGCCCTCGGCGTTGATCTATCTCTTTAGGGATGCGCCATGCGTCCGACTTCATTAGGTATCACTGGAGGTGATTGAATGCATATCTGGCCTTTACAATGACTCGCAGTGGCCTACTGATATATCCAGTCAGTGCTATTACCTTCCCAGACAAGTCTAGCACCAATTTGGCGACCCCGGAGGGATGAAACACTTGGTTGACCTGGTGCGCGGATGATCGATCTCATGTGTATTGCAGGGCGCCTCCAACCTCTGCGCTACATGCGCCATTTTTAGCAGAAACAAGTGGTAAATGTAATAAGTAAAAACACTGTAAGCGAACCTGCACAAAAAGTGGCATGGTGAGCAGCATGTCATTTAGAGCTACGAGAGCATTATGCGTTGACATTAATTGTGGCTCATGAGATGACGACGAAACGAGAAGACGGGCGGAATGAGAAATAACGGGGGGTAATCGGGTTAGTCTTGTCCCTTTAGGAATGTATGCAGATGCTGGTCCACTCCCAGCTGCTAAATATATTGCCAGTCGTAGCCAAGGTGAACAAGCCTAGAAATGACAGATAAAATATCACAGCGGAAATTTTAAGTCAACAGTAGTTCATAATCTTATCAGCGCAATTTGATTACAACTGGTAACATGAAAGAGACTACATTGACAACTCATAAATTCAAAAATACTCACTTCAGGTATCGGCGGGCCAATAAATGGCAAAGAGGACGCTGGTACTGTACATGCATCAAACGATAGAGGAGCCATGGAAACCAGAATGCTAAACATGTTAAACGCTTTATCCTATATGAGGCAAAACAATGCAAGAATAGGAATAATGAAGAAACAAAAATGCACTACGATCAAAATACCCGTAAGACTTGCTAAGAACTCGAATGCGACTCTGTGGGTCAAGACTCAACAGACTCTCGCCCCGTAGCATATCTACTTCTCTTTCTTTTCGAAGACTCCGAAGAATATCCAGCAATGTCACTGCATGTTCTGAATATCGCTGCGCTTCTCCTTCAGCAAAACGATTTACCTGAATATAAAAATGGTTCACACACAATATTCTCATTCCATAACAATGAAGCTGAAGCTCTCGGATTTCATCAATCCCTGAGGGATGCGCCATGCATTAGTATTCATTAAACATCGTTGGAGGTGACTGGATGCTTATCTGGCCTTTACAATGACTCGCGGTGGTCTACCGATGTATCGAGCCAGTGCTGCTATCCTCCCACACAAGTCCGATACCAATTTCACAGCCCACTAGAGCTGGAAGGCTTGGTGAACCTGGGACGCGGGAGCGATCCAGCAAAATTCGTGGGATTTCAAATAACGGAAACAAAATACTTACACATTCCAAATGTTCTAGAAAATCACGCATCTGTTCGTCCGCCAACTTCCCTACTTCAAACAGTGTAACAGCGTGACCCTGTAGTAAACTTCTATATTTCGGTAAGCTTTTATACATGGCAGCTAAGGTTTAACAGCACAAAAATGGCATAAGAAAGCGTAGACTTTGGCAAAAAAAATCACAACAAAAAGGCTCACTTTCAGCGAGCTGGACAAATTCCCCATCATTAAAAAGGCTGCTAAGGAAGAATCAAAAAGGAATGCTGCCCTCTGTACTGACGATGACACCTCTGTCGTAGGCTGTGATGCAATCTAGGACAATCATCAGATGGAGTTTGAAAGTTATGAGGGTCGTTTTCGAAAACCTCAATAGCAGAAAAATACCGTCTCTTTCGTAGTGCAGTTACTGAGCTGTGTTGCCTGTTCCTCATCATCATCGTCACCAAGAGGTGAAGCCAAAGAAGCAGACAATTCTCCCAAATCCCCTGTTACCGATGATACCATGTCATCTCTGTAAATACAACAGCTGAAGTGATGATGGCATTATTTAACGTATTTACAAGGCGAAATAACCTTCAATAGTACCACATATGATACAACAAACAGAGTGACACAACAAAAAAATGTAATGCAACATATACAATAGTTTAACAAATATAATTCAGTTCCATAAGCTCCTTTAGACAGTTGAAAACAGAATATTAATACATTTGTGCCGACTTGAATCTATTTCAACTCATACATGGCGAAGAAGTATAGCAGGTATGATGAGATGGTTTCCCATCATTTTCTTCCACGAGATTTACCTTGAGATAGAATAGAGCTTTTTTTCTCTTTTCTACATTGAAACTTTTCTGATTTCATCATTTATTCGAACATTTTCTATTCAATCTATAGTTCACCCACCACAGTTGTAGTACATGTTGGCCGAGAAGAGCTACATTCTACACTTTTTTAACACATAACGCCTCGTAGCCATTTTGTCTCGCTGGCGAAATCGAATATGTGGAATTTTCTGCGGACTTTCTGGCTTTTTGACAACAAAAATACTTTTGTCAACAACTTAAGTACATTAGCGGTTCTGAGCATAGCAATATTGTACAAGAGACTTGATTCTACCGTTTTATGGTTATGAATGGTATGTATACCAGTGCTTACTGTGTCACTATGGTCCATGTCCATTATGGAAATGCATTGCCGCCAGGCCAACGTATAGTACTGCTTTGCGACTTACGTTATGTCTATTTACGTATTTCTATAACCACACATTGTTTACAGCGACCTAAGTGATTAAAACTTGGTCCAACTGCCGATTAACGAACCTCTTCGAAATCAAAAAAGGTTTTCTGAAAACCATTAAATGTAGAGATTGGTTTTCCTGGTGCCACCTCTGCTACTATGAACTGATTTCGATTATCTAACGAATAAATATACACAGTGCAGTGAAAAAAAAACTTTGGAACCCCACTAAGCTGAATACGGACACTACAGTGTCTGTACGGGGCATTATGGGCTAAGGCGCAAAACTGGACCCATTGCGACTTGCTATGGAATAAGATATTAAGAAGTTCGATAGAGACACATACAGTGCGCACTCACCATTGTGCTCCCAAAGCTCTTTGGGAACACTACAGGTCCTGAACTCTACCGTGAGGTCTGGGTGAAAATAGATCATAAAAAATAAAGGGACATAATATATGTTGTGAAGCTGATTACCAAAGCTGATTTGACTGAACTATGGTTGGACGAGGAACTCGCCATTCTCAACACTCGCAACGGTTACAAATATTTTTCGAGGAAGTAGGCAGTGTGGTCTGTATGACTTGATTTCAATTCACATCGTCTACGACGAGAAATTAGGTCTTGTCACGAATGTGTCAACCATGAAGGCTATAACTTACACAGTTGGAGAATTGGGTACAGAGACAATCTGTGCCCAGCTATAATGAAGTCGTGCAGTTTCCATTCCGGTAACCCTTTTCCTTGCAAACCCCAGACGACAGAATACGGAAATCGCATTAGCGACGAGATGAAAGTCAATATGAAGCATTTCAGCCATCTAAAAAGGAGTAAGTATAAGAGGATCGAAAATCAACCAGTACTAATGGTAAAGAAGAAAGGAAGTTTTAATAGTCTCAAACAAACATACACCACCAATATTTCAAAAAAAACCTCTTTAACGGTGGTTTGATCGTCAATTGCGACAAAAATTTTATACAGAAGGGTTTCAAAATAATCTCCGAGAACACGGTTCATCACAAAGCCGTCAAGAGGGGCGACTGAAATTTATGACACGCAACAATGAAGGAGGAAAAATAAACCGCAAAAATCTAAGAAAACGATTTAAAACGAAAAATTTAGATAACAGCATACCGTAGACATAGTCCGATTCAACAACAGGCACATCCAAGTATACCAAACCGCGGTTAAGCAATGAGTGAACAACTGGAACTGGAAGCAAACCAGCCGCATGTGGTCCTTCATCTATAAGGTTATCAACGACGCGGCGTTCATCTTCTGTTAACAACTGTGAAGCAATAAATCAGCAGTGATACAAGTTATGCAAACAACACTATAGAGTACCTTGATATCGGCTTCGAGGATACTTCCCGCACACACAATCCACCAGGGTTCTACCACTCGCTGAAAACAACTAGTTAATACAACCACAACGATGCTGAGATCTTTGTAAAACTCCGGACACAAGTGTTTGCGGTGGGGACCAAGCACGCTATTCCTCTTTCCGAAGGCTAACGCGTTCACCACCACACCATGCAGTTCTTTCGCTTCGCCTTTCTCTTAGCTAGTTATCCATCTACCAGTGCCATCAGCAGTCACCCGTCAACAGGATTAATCCGAGGAGCACAAATCGGCATTGAAACCAGTAAAGCTGAGGCTTAAATTGGTTAATACTTATCAATCCTATACCTTTGAAAACACACATTGGCTTCGGACTGTACTAGAGATACAAATACTTCAATGAATAAAAAAAATCGCATGTAAGCTATTTTTTTTCTATAATTTCGCCCAAACATTTACTTGTTCTACATGGACCGAAGTCAAATATTGTGCCAGTCCCAAGCATTTCTTCCATTTGATTTTTTTTTCTTGCATCAATCATCAACGAAAGTCTTCAAATTTGTGTGTGGATTCAGATCTTAAACAGGTTTTTTGGTGTTATTTTGGAATGTAGTTGAGTGCTTAATTTGATACTACCTGGAATTTTAGGACAACCATGCCAGGCTGCTCCAAGGTCTTTTGGATAGCAAAGAGCATCTTAGCCAAGTATAAGATGGGTGGTTTGGTTGTCCTGCGTCGAAGTCGAACCCATGCCTTATCGGTATTAAACGGCATCAATACCACTAGGGTAATCGCTTCAAATTTATCTTTTCAAACAGCTGCACACTTAGTCAGATCTGACCTTGTCGCACATGCTACGCTTCGTAAAAAAAAAAACTAAATGCGAGAAAAGAAAACCTTTGCTGGTTTCTGTGGCAAAAGTTCACGAAGAGGACGACTCCGACGGAGAAATTTCCTGTTAGACCTGAAAATACGAGGTATCCGTATTCTCGAAAGTTCCCAAAAACGCTTATTCATCATCAATAAGGTAGTTCCTTTGCTCACATTCTCTATTACAAAAGTCACTGGTAAATGTAATACCGTACTCTAAATTCATATCACCATGTCTGTGTCATTTCTGCCCACGAAGCCACACTACTTCTTAAGAACCAAAACTGTATTAATTCACACAACTTCTACGTATAAAAATTTACACAGAATTTCACTGGTTTACGGCTTATATACCTGGATGAGGCATCTTCATGGTTGTGCTCGTTCCACCATGATCTTCAATTTTTCGGAATTTCGCTGGTTTTAGCCATTGTGGTTCCCCGGAGTCCCGAGGTCAGTCTGGTCAAAGTCTGCACCAGGTCGTCATCATCACAGGCCGTGACCGCACTTGTGGATCAGATGGAGATTTGCGATTATGAGGCTAGTTTGATACCAGGACGGTGATGGATCCTAGTATTGCTCTTAGCTAGGCTTCCTGATGGAAACACAGGACTCCTCAGCTTGAGTGACCCTGCAGGGGGGTGAATACCCCGCTGTTTATGGCAGCCCGACACCCAGGAAGACCTCCCAGCCACGATAAGGCGGTAAACCGTTGGTAGGAGTTCGTCACACAAAAACCAAATGTCAGTTCAAGATGTGAAGGCGTTTTAAAATGTAGACGTAAAAATATTTAGTTAGATGAATACCAGGTACAAAATGTTATAGTAGCAAAATATAAAACTTCCCATTGTAAGCTTAAGAATTCCTAAAATCCCCAAAAAAAGAATAAAATCTCTGCAGTTACCTGTTCTGATTCATAAGATCAATGTACTGATTTCGACCTATACCCAGCAGTCGCATTGCATCAGCAGCTGTGAAATTCGGCAAGGAATCGTACGACTTTTCCGATTGTATCATGTCCTACAAGAACACATCCAAAAGGGAGGTACAGCAGCCATACCTGTAGTTTGTACATTTGTACAAAGTAAGAGTACTAAGCAAAACGAACCGTGATGATGTTTATATAGTAGTTGAAGGGAGTGATTCGGAGTTCTCGTACAATAATATCCGAAAGATGGTAAGGATAGAGCATAAGATGTGATTCGCTGTACTTCACAATCATGTCATAGTAGGTCTCCTCGTTTTTCTTGACATGACGAACTACAAGTGGCAAACTTCTCCGACCAATGAAGCATAACTTCTCAAACCTACTAAACGACTGAAAATACCAAAAAAAGTCCTTGAAAGTTTAAAAAGAATTCAAACTACGTGAAAGTACATGAGACATTCACAGACAATTGGTTGACAATGACTACATATCTGGCTTTTACAATGACTCGAGGTGGCCTACTGATGGATCGAGCCAGTGCTGCTATCCTTCCAGACAAGTCTGCTACCAATTTGCGACCCCAGAGAGTTGGAGGGCTTGGTGAGCTCGGCGCCATGGGATCGATCCCATGTGTGTTGCAGGACGCTTCCGACCACTGCGCTACACGCGCTTAGAACAAAACCCTCTTTCAATACAGTCGCGATGATATGACCATCTGACAACTCCTGATAAATTTTCGATTGCCGGTGCTTCAGGAAATGAGTACTTCGTAACTTATACAAGAGATTTCGCACTATCGCACCAAGGGTATACTCAAGTTTCCAAAAAACTTCCTGTTTTTTTACATGACCCGCTTTCATATCTACCGCGCAGATCCCTGCACTTCTTCCATTCCATTAGCTTCCTCGCATTCACTATCCACGGTCTTCATACATTCCGCGTGTTGTTTCGGCTGCTTCGTGAGGATGTGAATGTTCTTGAATATTGGTCCAGTCGATTCTTCCTAGAGTCAATCTAGAGCGTTTCCACTTGAATTGCACAAAGTGGAACCGCCCACAGAGTTTGGTAGCAAATTCCTAACCCAGAAGGGGCTTGGCGAAGCCGGTGCGGTAACCAACAAGCCCGTGCCGGCAACGAACGGCACCAATACCACTGCATTTCACGCCATCCTTCTTTCATTTTTAGTTTCTTCAATTCAAATTTTTGTAGAATTCAGTATTGTCATATTTTAACTGGATGCCCTAAGCATGCAAATTCCATTGATGCCCTGTGGAACACAATGTCCTACGTGACGAAAAAAAATTTGTGAGCACCAGCTCAAAAAATCGTCGTGGTACAAGAAACTCATGCTTATTTTTTCTATCCATCGTGTTGCAGAGACCGCCTTCACATTTACTGTGCGCATTCCACTATTTCTCGCATTCATTCCGCATCGTCCACAAAGTTCTTCGAAGATTTCGCATGTTGTTTCGGATGCTTCTTGAGGATTTCGACTTCTCTGTCAATATCGAATGCTGGTCCAGTCGTTTCTTTATGCAACCTTGGAGATAACCTACTTATAGCGTACCCACATGGCTTTATGGAAAGCGTTGAATAGAGGGTCGAACAAAGACCTTGCTTGCCCTGATGGACTGTTTCACTAACCAACAGCTATACCCCACAAACCTATACATTTCTGGTAAAATGTGTAGATTCCAGTGCTTTCCATTTTAACTAAAAAAGCTCGTAACGGTTTCCAACCGTAGCTTCACATCAATACATGACTTTGTGGCAGTTCTACTTCCATACGACCTGTCAGAAATCCTATAAAATCATCCACAACTTATTAATTCTACTGATTCAGAACTTTCGAGAACAGGTTTGTAACCCTACTTTCAAACTTTTCATCTAACAAAACATCATCTCAGGCAGCACAGACAAAACACACGACAATTTTAACCCTCGAGAGGAGATTAGAGTAGACCTTTGCGGTCTGATTGGAACAAAGGAATATATCATGTTTCTTCCGAGTTTTCAGCGGTTGTCACCATTGTGCACAGAAAAAGTTATGAATGTAACTATTCTGCATTCATTGACTGTGGAACTTACCTAAATTGCCCTTGTAGCGCAACTGATTTTTGATAGAATATTCAAGGATAAGTTTATCGTACTCTCTCTGGGAATTGCCAAGCAAAACACGTATATCTTCCGGAAGTTTTTGCCAACCAATATTCTCTCGTATACATGTATCAACATCCATCAGTCAGAACAACACTGCAACTGTTCTAGTTCTGTTTCTTTCTCACACCGCCTTTCTGCAAAAATTGCAGAAGTACTAAAAGTGCTGAACAGCAACAGAGACTAGAAGTTGCTTACAACGTTCAATGTCGCTGTGAATAAAACATCAATCAATAACTTATTGGTTAAGCCATTCGGACTAACAAACAACGTTTTCATACGTAAAATTTATGAAATTCTGCAGAATTTAAAACTACTATTACGGGAGCAACTGACTGCACTTCTTTAATATCACTATATTATCAAAAATATGAAAGAATAATATTAGACACCTGGGTTAGATATGTGACTTCGACAAACTCAACCTTAAGAACCGCTATATTCCACACAAGTACTTGCTTAGATACCTGGATTACTCGCTTTCACAGGGTTGCAAAATAAGCCATCGAGATCATGAGAAAAAAACCCATTGGTCATAAAAAGACTAATTATTGAAAGAACTGTGACACAGTAGTAGAAAAGCTGTAGGCCTTTTGCTAATAAAAATACTATTGAAAGAACTGTGGTACAGTACCATGATATTTAAGACAGTGATATGCAAATCGATCATGACGCCAGAATCGAGCTCTACATCCGCGAGCTTTGCATACTAACTCCCTCATCTTCAGATGTTCACGAAACACATGAGCATCCACGTTCTTCTTATCTGCATAACAAAGTCCACATTTCTTGCATGCGTACGGCTTCTCTCCTAAGAATCTCAACTATAGATGTACTGCGACTGCAAGGTAGATATGGCACTTAATTTTACAAACCAGTATGTGTGCGTATATGACGGACTAAGTTGCTCTGCACCTTGAATGTCTGACGGCAGTACTTGCACTTGTATGGTGCTTCTCCAGTATGAATACATCTGGAATACACATTTCCCGCTATACACCAAACGAACGATATTTCCCGCAAAATATAATAATTCTACGAATTCAACTCACCTAATATGCTTCTCAAGTCCACTCTTTTCTTTCGACCTGTGCTTACAATACGGACATTTAAACGGCTTTTCCATCATTTCCTGAAACTACAGATTCAAGTTAACTACATTTAATAAACTATGTACAACTGGAAGGAGTGTTTGACAAGGTTTTCGTTGAAAGCGAAGAAAGTGGTGTTCAAAAAAACCTCAAGTAAAACTTTATAGCACAACATAAACTCTTGCAAAGATAATCAGACAACAGTCAAGATTGACCGATGTTTACAAATACTGTTCGGAGCACCTTTTGATTTCCAACAATCAGTGGCACAGTAACATCACTAGCAGCAACGATTTCAGGAAGACCATAACCAAAGCTGTCGACATTTGATGTTCGCTTTTCATCTTCTTGCAGGAACGACATTGTCACAGCTGGTACTGTCACGTCGCCGTTGTTAGTATCAGCTGCAAAACAAAGAGAATAATAGTAAAATAATGTTCATGGGCTAGCTAACGCTGTGGTAATTATGGCGATCATTACGAGCACCGTGCTAGTTCGAGCACACACCGAGTTCACCGACCCCGTCATCCCTCCGGGGTTTCTAAAATGTTATCAGATATGTCCCAAAAAGTCCACTCTTTCCAATCCAAATGGGGACACCCTAATTCGACTAAGTCACATGACTCCAGGAAGAACGGACTCGACAAGCGTTTAACGACATTCAACGGAAGGAAAATCGTCAAGCAGCAGCCGAAACCACACTTAGGAAGTTGGAGGACCCAGGCCGACAGTGGATGCGAGAAAACGAGTATAAAGCATAGAGTGTTGGAAGAAGTACAGAGGATGTGAAAGAAGGGACATGTAAACAGAGAAATCAATAAACGTTGATGGGAAAGAACCCCGAAATAAATAAATTTCTTTAAACATCTAAATATTTGATGGCAATACTAAGATGTTGACCATAAAAGGATAAGGGATAAATCTTCTGGTGTTGTTCAATACCTGAGGGATGAGCCAGGCATTCGACTTCATTAAGCAGCGCCGGAGGTGATTGAATGCACATCTGGCCTTTACAATGACTCGCGGTGGCTTACTGATTTCTCGAGCCAGGACTGCTATCCTCCTAGACGAGTGTGGTACCAATTTGCCGACCGTGGAAGATAAAGGGTTTGGCTGACCTGGGGCACGGGGACCGATCATGTGTACTGCAGGGCACCCCCGACCACTGCGCTAAATGCGCCCCATGTTGACTACACTAGACGTTGGTCCAACGATCAAAGTGGTATTTCTTAGAATCTTTAAATTAAAAGAAAGCTAAACTTAACTATGAAAAAGAAAACTCCGATAAAGGAAAAAGCTATCTAGTACTTAGCGAACCGTTTAGTGTCTTTAAATTTTAAAAAACCTACGAAGAGAGACCACCGTTGAGTTCTTGACAAGCACTGGCTGATACTTATTACGTTCTAAACGTCCTAATACTCTTCGCACACGTCGGGGTCCCATTACATATTCCTCGTAGATGGAGTCATAGTCGTCCGCTGCTTGTGCAGTAATGTCTTCTGCGGAGCCGATAAAAGTTAACGGATTCTCATCAGGATTACAGATACCAAGTTGACAGCCTAAACATATGGATCGAAAAATATGGATTGGGAAAATGTGGAAGAAAATAGGAAAAAAATAACACAGTTTGAACGACACATGGTGTCCTAATAGCCGAACACATTCGCGACGACGGAAGTTTTCGGGTACCTAGAACACCTGCGGGCGTAACGTTGAGAAGCTTAAGGTTCGAATGCCGATACAGGGTATAGCGACTAGAATTCAGATCTACAAGAAGATAGTAGTGAAAATGGGATTTGTGTTTCAGATCTTAGTCTCAGTTAAAAAAGTTACATCCTTTCGTTAAACGCTTTCGAGAAACTGCCAAAGTGGTAAATCCTCAACGAGTACCAAGTGATAGATGATGTCCCATTCTACGAAATCCCTATTGTTCAATCGCACTGGTATTGGAAATAAGAGTTTTAAGAAAAAAGAAAAAAAACGCTTTGTGGGCTCCAGGAAATCAGGACTCCATCGCGATAAAGTAAGTTGTAGCACTTTTTGGGAGACATTTATAGATTCTGTGTATCTCATTCCAATCAATAAGGCTAATTACAAGGATAGATATGGCTGCGCAAAGTTGAGAATTAGAGTTAATTCCGAGTAGGAAAGCATTGAGATCGACCTGCTTCATTGCAAATGTGCTAAAAGGAAAACGAAAAATAAGGCCGCATAGCCCTAATAATATAAAGCAATCTTATAAACAGTCCGAATAGTTAGGCTTACTTGATGTGAAGTTGTGATTTCCAGTGTGGTTAGCGCTAGCCACTTCTTCAACAGGACCTGAAAACTTTGTTGCGAACATTCTTACGGTTTATCTGGTTTAGTTCTGCATTCCGTTAACCTTATAACAGAAAAAAAGTATTTCTGGAGCACACACAGGTAAGAAAAAACGTACCACTATTGGCCAACTCTTCTTCATATCTAAGCTTTCGTATCTTGTAATCTATCAGATCGACAAGATGATTCATGCTCAGATCGAAGGCGGACACCCGTAACATTCGAGATCGCCTTCGCCCAACATCTAACACGCCAGTATAGGCAAAATCGACAAGCATCTTCATATCCTCTCTAAAACTACTTCGATCTATTAAATACAATCCATTAACTAGCCGAAGTTAGTTCCTAAGCTATTTTTTACGCATGCACGATTCGCGGCAATTAACTTTACTACCATCTCAAAAGAAAAGCGCGCGTATAGCGCAGTAGCGCGAAGTGCCCTGCAGTAAACATGGGATCAATCCCAGCGCCTCAGACTCACCAAACCCTCCATCTCTCCGGGGTCGGAAGATTGGTATCAGACTTGTCTGGGCCGATGGCAGTACTGGCTTGATGGAGCGGTAGGCCACCGCGAGTCATTGTTAAGGCCAAATACACACCTAGTCATCTCCAACGACATAAGTTTTATCGATCTGGAGAAAAACAAAGGTTGTCAGCCTTTCTAATCATAACTATGAAAGAAGTAATATATGTCTTTTAACCTGACCGATAGATATTTGCTTATGAATTCAACAGCTCAAAAATAGCCAGCTTTCTATCTCATACACTATCACTGATGATTTTTTAAAAAGTGGTGGCAAATGTTCAATGAGATCTATGTGATCAAAATAATATCGAAATAAATAAAAGAAGATAAAGCTCTCGGCGTTGATGTATCTCCAGGTAATGCGCCATGCATTCGACTTCATTGGAGGTGAATGAATGCATATTTGGCTTTTACAATGAGTCGCGGTGAGCTGCCGATGCATCATATCAGTGGTGCTATTCTCCCAGACAAGTCTGGTACCAATTAGCCGAACGTGGAAGGATGGAGGGCTTGGTGGGCCTGGGAGGCGGAGATCGATTCCATGTGTATTGCAGGGCATCTCCAACCACTGCTTTACACGCACCCCATCGAAATAAATACGTACGTGGAAATATGAACATTATGAGAGTCGATACGTAATGTCACCGTTCCGCTGTTTAGAGTTCCTGTGAGCGCGGTTTCCAAATGCCCGCTATGAGCGCACATCAACAATCGATGGCAACGTACAACCGCCAAGCGCTAGAAGAGAATTGAGCTAACTCATGAATCTGAAAGTATTTTTGGCAAACCTACTAAATTAAGCAGAAAGAAAAAGAAATGCAACAACTCAGAAAGATACACAGAGCAAAAATTAGGAAAAACCAAACCACAATGCATTTGGAACTTAAAAAATAAAACTACTAAAAAAACAAACCCCAGTCACTATGTTACAATCCAGAAACTTGGACTCCTTTCTAAATCTACCTAATTGTTCTAAAAATCGAATCTCGTGCCATTCGTCGTGTACTTCACAGTTATCCTCATCCGAATCCAAAAGCTGAATACATTGTATACAAATTATAGTTGCAATATCACTTCTGGGAACTATCAAAGAACTGCAGGAGTCGGATGGCATAGTGATGATGATGTCGGTCTTCATGAACACGG